TTGTACAAATTGGCTGTTATCGTTTGTACATGACCACAACCACTTGCATGTCATTGTGCTCGCGATGTAGAGAAACATTTCAAAGTGCACCACAGATGCCATACCAGCTGGAATACACCGAGCCACACATGGAGTATCTGCATAAATAAGGACAGATGGAAAGGACTAGGCAGGGAATTCCAGAGCTTAGAGCCCAAGCTGATGAAGGAGTGGTGTATTAGTATGGATTGAGCAAAGTCATAACATTTAATTGATGATAAAGTGCTTTGGGACACAGAAGTTGCTATATAAATGCAAGTCCTTCTTCTGGCACATTGGCCATCCTGTCTTGCCCTCCTCTGTGGGAAACATGAGCTGAAATGAGAAACAGTTTCAGTTGCTCAGCATTGATGCCACTTGTTTTGATAAATTGACAAACTGAAGAAAAATGAAAAGCACTTCAATAATTTGGTGACACCTCGATGAGGCAGGTTACAAACTGGGATCTGCCATCCATATTGCAGTCTCATTGCTCCGGGATTAAGCTGCTTGTGTCCAATGAGCCACAAGGAGGCATCAGATCCTTCCTTATTTGCTTTCACTATTCTGATACAGTCAGGATTCCAATCAGTGACAGGGTTACATTTGAAAACTGGATTCTCCCAATCAGAAAGATGCATTTTTACGTTATATTGATAAATTTGATGTTAATAGTCAGGTGATGTGATGTTTGATTCCATTGACATGCCTGATGTCATGATGGATCAGAGCAGATTAGATTGGGAGATCTATTCCCAATTGGTGAAAAGATCAAGAACAAGGACATAGTGTAGACATGATGGGCCGAATGGACTCCTTCCATTTGCAACCATTAGGTGATTGTTATTTATGTTCTGGCGGGATCAAGTGTCACTTGAGGGAAGCAAAAATGGAAATTTCTGGAAAAGCTCAGCAGGTCTGACAGCATCCGTGGGGAGAAATCAGAGTTAACGCTTTGGGTCCAGTGACCCTTCCTCGGAATTGACCCACTAGAGCGATTTGAGCATTGAATAAAGTTTGACAGGGAGCTGTACTGTCAGAGGGTCAGTCCACATAGGATCAGAAAATCCCTACAGTGTCGAAACAGGCCATTCAGCCCATGGGGTTCACACCGACCCTCCAAAGCATATCCCACCCAGACCTACCCCGTAACCCTGCATTTTCCATGGCGAACCCACCGAGCCTGCACATCCACAGAAACTGTAGACAATTTAGCACGGCCAATCTATGTAACCTGCACATCTTAGGACTGAGGAAGGAAACCCATGCAGTTATAGGGAGAATGTGCAAACTTCACTAAGACCAGATTGAGGAATCGAAACTGGCTCCCTGGCACTGAGGCAGCATTGCTAACCACTGAGGTCACTATGCCAACTCATGGAGAGGGTCAGTACTGAGGGAGTGCCGCACTGTCAGAGGGTCAGTACTGAGGGAGTGCCGCACTGTCGGAGGGTCAGTACTGAGGGAGTGCCAAACTGTCAGAGGATCAGTACTGAGGGAGTGCCGCACTGTCAGAGGGTCAGGACTGAGGGAGTGCCGCACGGTCAGAGGGTCAGTACTGAGGGAGTGCCGCACTGTCGGAGGGTCAGTACTGAGGGAGTGCCGCACTGTCAGAGGGTCAGTACTGAGGGAGTGCCGCACTGTCAGAAGGTCAGTACTGAGGGAGTGCCGCACTGTCGGAGGGTCAGTACTGAGGGAGTGCCACACTGTCGGAGGGTCAGTACTGAGGGAGTGCCGCACTGTCAGAAGGTCAGTACTGAGGGAGTGCCACACTGTCGGAGGGTCAGTACTGAGGGAGTGCCGCACTGTCGGAGGGTCACTATTGAGGGACTGCTGCATTGTCGGAGGGTCAGTATGAGGGAGTGCCACACTGTCAGAGGGTCAGTGCTGCATGACTGTTGCATAATTTTCTGCATCAACAGTAACTATCATTGTTCTGAGTGTCTGTGTGATGTTTATACAGCCTGTTTTTTTATTACATGTTATCTGGTTTTCCACACAAGTTATAGGCCATTCATTTACACCGAATTAGAGTCATCGAGATGTACAGCACAGAAACAGACCCTTCACTTCAAATCGTCCACGCTGACCAGATATCCTAAATAAATCTAGCCCCATTTGCCAGCATTTGGCCTGTCTCCTCCTGAACCCTTCGTATTCATCCACCCATCCAGATGCCTTTTAAATGTTGTAATTGTACCAGCCTCCACCACTTCCCCTGGCAGCTCATTCCATACACGCATCACCCTCTGTGTGAAAAAGTTGCCCCTTAGGTCCCTATTAAATCTTTTCCTTCTCACCTTTATCATGTGGCCCTCTAGTTTTGGACTCCCCCACTCTGGGGAAAAGACCTTGCCTATTTACCCAATCCATTCCCCTCATGATTTTATATAACAGTATAAGGTCACCCCTCTGCCTCCGACGCTCCAGGGAAAATAGCCCCAGTATATTCAGCCTCACTCTCTCGCTCAAAGCCTCTAACACCGACAACATCCTTGTAAATCCTTTCTGAATCCTTTCAAGTTTCACAACATCTTTCCTTTAGCAAGAGACCAGAATTGAATGCAACATTCAAAAAATGGCCGAACCAATATCCTGTATGACCACAACATTACCTCCCATTGCCTATACACAATGCACTAACAAATTAGGGAAGCATACCAAACACCTTCTTCACTATCCTATCTACCTGCGACTCCACATTCAAGGAGCTATGAACCTGCACTCCCAGGTCCGTTTGTTCAGCAACACTCCCCAAAACCTTACCATTGAGTGTATAAGTCCTGCTCTGATCTGCCTTTCTGAAATAGAGCACCTCACATTTATCTAAATTAATCTCCATCTGCCAATTCTCAGCCAAATGGCCCATCTGATCAAGGTCCCATTTATTCTGAGGTAACCTTCTTCACTGCCCACTACACCTTCAATTTTGGTGTCATCTGCAAATTAGTAACCATCTATGCAGCCCTCCCTCAGTAGTGACCCTCTGACAATGCGGCACTCCCTCAGTACTGACCCTCTGACAGTGCAGCACTCCCTCAGTACTGACCCTCCAACTGCGGCACTCCCTCAGTACTGACCCTCCAACAGTGCGACACTCCCTCAGTACTGACCCTCCGACAGTGCGACACTCCCTTAGTACTGACCCTCCGACAGTGCGACACTCCCTCAGTACTGACCCTCCGACAGTGCGAAATTCCCTCAGTACTGACCCTCTGATAGTGTAGCACTCCCTCAGAGTTCTGTGTTCAAATCCAAATCATTTATATAAATAACGAAAAGCAGTGGACCCAACACTGATGCTTGTGACACACCACTGGCCACAGGCCTCCAGTCTGAAAAGCAACCTCCACTACCAACTTCTGTCTTCTACCTTCAAGCCAGTTCTGTACCCAAATAGCTGGTTCTCCCTATATTCCATGTGGTTTAATGTTGCTAACCAGTCTACCATGAGGAACCTTTTTGAATGCCTTATTGAAGTCCTTACAGACCATTTGACCCATCTGCTCTCTGCTGGCTTTATGCAGCCTGTCCCTACCTGTCTTCTGTTATCCCTATCAACATATTCCTCATCTTTTCCTTGTGTGTTTATTCAGCTTCTCTTAATTGTATCAACAATATTCACCTTGACAATCCCTGTGGGAGCCTGTCCTATGTCCTCGTTACTCTCTGGATGATGAAGCCCATCCTGTTCTCCTCTCTAGGTTAAATTATGACAGACAATTATCTTAGCCCCTTTTCCTGGATCCCCTCAGCCTGGCCTCACAGGAGGAAACATTTCCTCTATTTCAATATTATTAAATCTTTGCATAATTACAGGATTTCAAACAGGTCATTCTCTTTTCTTAAAAAGGAATTCTGGCCTGGCCCGTCTTTCCCGCTGGTTAAAGGTTTTATTTCTGGGAGTATGAGCCTAAGGCCACATGGAGTTAGGTCACAGACCAGCCAAGAATTCATTGAATGGTGGAACAAGGGGCTGAATGGCCTGCTCCTGTTCCTATGGAATGTGGGAACATAGGACTTAGGAGCTGGAGCAGGCCCCTTGGCCCCTTGAGCCTGCCCCACCATTTGATAAGATCAAGGTTGATCTGGTTGAGGTCTCGACGCCAAATTTCTCTCTGCAACCAAAACCCTTGACTCTCCCATCAGTCAAAAATTCATCTAAACCAGCCTTAATATGTCAATAGGGTCAGTGCTGACTCAATGGGCTGACGGCCATCCTCTGTATGATTCTATGAAAGAATTCAATGTCCTCGCCTCCTCTATTTTTCTGGGAATAAAAGAATTCCGGACATTATAGATCCTCTGATAGAAAAAAAATCTTCATCTTTAAGAAGGAGACCTCCTATTGATGAACCAGGTGCCTTTAGTCTGAGATCATTCGTGGTGAATCTTTGCTATACTTTCTGCAAGGTTTCGTAATTTGAAGAATAAGTTATTCACAGCCAGTATTTGAACTGTGATTCAGGATGGCCAAGTGGTTAAGCTGTTGGGTTTAAGATCCAATGAATAAGTGTCTGTGTGGGTTCAAGCCCCAATCCTGCTAGATGGGTGTTTTTTTTTTGGGCGGCTCAGCGGTTAGCACTGCTGCCTCACAGCATCAGGGACCCGGGTTCAATTCCACCCTTGGGTAACTGTCTGTGTGGAGTAAAGAGAGAGAAAAAAAAAGAAACAAAAAGAATTGCTGATGGAGAGGACGAGCCTGTGCTCAGAAGTCCTACTCCTTCATTTTGTAGTGTCCAGGGATGTGCAGGTTGGTTAGCCATGGGAAATGCAGGGTTTAAGGGATAGGGTAGGGAGGTGGGTCTAGATGGGATGCTCTCCAGAGGACTGGTGCAGATTTGATGGGCCGAATGCCTGCTTACTGAATTGTAGGGATTCTATGATTCTAATTTGAGTTTGACACAACTGCCCTGCTCTCCTCTAGAAATAGTTCCCAATACTGGCCTTGCTGATGTTGAGTTTATTCTTTCTTTTCACAGGGATATCCAGGTGCTATTGGAGCAAGAGGCCCTCCTGGTTCTGATGGCAGCCCAGTGAGTTATATCCACCGATCGTTCTAGTTCATTATACTTACTGCCTTAAAGGCAACCCGTTTTGACAGCTGCATAAAGATTAGAAACATCCATTGAAGTACAGTTTGTTGTGATCACATGCCCACAGGCACTCACAATCACAGCAGAGGCAAATACCCCAAAGATTGGGGGGAGCATTAATACGTTACCCCACAATTTCCTCTTCTGTCAAAACCTGCCTCAGAAAGTCTTTCAGCTGTTTACGATGACTCTGACCCAGCAATGTGTGAATTTTCTGCAGTTATGCTGCTTGGTGTAAAACTGGGGACAGAATTTGCATTGAACGTAAAATCAGTTGCTTCATTCTCATTACTTTTTTTAAAAGATGCTTTGGATAAATCTTCCCTCTCTGAAAGCTATACTATGCTGTCTGTTTATATGAAGGCATTTTATTTTTTAAAAACATCACCATAAAAGTTAAAGGAGAAATGTTCAATGAAAGGTTAACTGTCTGTCTGTTGCTTGTAGCCATTCCTAGCAAGAGATCAGTTTTCTAGGTATATCATGCACTGGTTGGCACGGTGGCACAGTGGTTAGCACTGCTGCCTCACAGCACCAGGGACCTGGGTTTGAGTCCACCCTCGGGTAACTGTCTATGTGGAGTTTGTACATTCTCTCCATGTCTGCGTGGGTTTCCTCCCACAGTCCAAAGATGTGTAGTGTAGGTGGATTGGCCATGCTATAGTGCCCAGGGATGTTTGGGTTAGACATGGGGAAATCAGGGGAAGGGGAATGGGTCTGAGTGGGATGCTCTTTGGAGGGGCAGTGCAGACTTGTTAGGCCACATGGCCTGTTTCCACACTGTAGGGATTCTATGATATATCAATGAATTTTAATTCTAGAAAGAACACTATGCTATTCTCCATAGACAAAGCACAGAGATGGCTTGAAACATTTTCTGTCTTAAAGATAGAATGTAAAGTGTCAGATCTTCACCTCCTCAGGTCCCAAATATTTATATTCACCTCCACTTGTTTACAGCTAATTCTTTTTGGAGAAATCCAGAGGTAAATAAACAAAATGATCATCATTCCAGATATATTGATCTGTTTGCTGTACATGGCCTCCCAAATTACTATAAAACCTAGAGGATTGTCCACTCAGTACTTCTAAAGGTGATGATGTGGAGGTGCCGGTGTTGCACTGGGGTGGACAAGGTCAGAAATCACCTGACACCAGGTTATAGTCCAACAGGTTTATTTGAAATCACGAGATTTTGGAGCAGTGCTCCTTCATCAGGTGATAAAGGCAGCAATCCGGAAGCTTGTGATTTCAAATAAACCTGTTGGGCTATTTCCTGGTGTTATGTGATTTCTGACCTTGTCTGAAAGTGACAGCCTTGCATGAACCAGACCATTGTTTCCCAGACTACCGTTTAATGTTTAGAGATGAAACGTGTGATGGGGAGAGTGAAGGGAGGAACTTGTTGCTGCAGTAGTCTTCACCAATATGGATGGCACCAAAAACCTGCCACTCCTCATGACGGGAAAGTCTAAGAAATTGTGTCATTTTGTGAAAAGTTGAGACACCGACCCATTGAGGAAGAGGTGGTCGAATCCACCTGGATAACCTGTGGCATTTTTGAGGCGTGAGGCAAGGAAAGTGGGTCAAATGGATCAATGGAAAGAAAAGAAAGATTATTTCCCGAAGACCCTGAAGATCAATGTCCACTCGCTCACCCACCTATTTAGTCATAGAGTCGTACAGCATAGAAACGGACCCTTCGGTCCAACCAGTCCATGCCAACCATAATCCCGAACCCAACTAGTCCCACCTGTCTGTGCTTCACCCATTTCCCTCCAAACCTTTCCTACTCATGTACCTTTCCAAATGTCTTTTAAACGTTGTAAATGTGCCCGCACCCATCACTTTTTCTGGAAGTTTATTCCACACAAGGATGCTCTGAGATTTTGCACTGTCAACACAGAACCAGGTTTAACTTCATTGCTGACACAGCAGACTCCTTGGAAGACAGGTCGTTCAGCAGAAAAAGATTTCTGAGCTTTCCTGGGTCTAACTCTACATGATGTAGGAGGAGAATTAGGCCATTTGGCCCATTAAGTCTGCTTCGCTGTTCTGCTCCAAAACATTTTGCTCAATGACTATCAGTGCAGGATGCCAGACTATTGTAGGATGTGAACAAATAGAAAAATGAAGACATTTGACATATATTTGCTGCAGCACTGTGCGTTAATTTGGGTTGTTTTCACATGGAGTGCGTTTGTAGGCAAACCGAGTTATACAGGGGCCTCCTCAATTGTTTCAAAGCTCCCCTGTTTATCGACAGCTCCTATGTGTTTGAACTTGACTAATGTTCGTCCAATGAGAGTAACCAGTTGTCAGTGTGCGAAATTAACATGGAACTCAATATTTGCAGGGATTGGTCGGCGGAATTGGTCAACCTGGATTTCCTGGCCTCAGGGTAAGTGGCTTAGGGAAATAAAGTTTCCCATCTTACACAGTACTGTCTATCCCTTTAACTGTTATTTTCTTGCTGATCCCTTTAACTGTTCAATGTGGAGGATGAAGGCATGATCGAATTGAAAGTGTTTAGGATGATGAAGCATTTGATAGAGTCAGGAGAGAGAACCTGTCTCCTCTGTGAGTGGCAGGGTTGATACGGACAGAGGGACAGAGTATTCCGATCTGACTCAGGCCATTCAGGAGGTAATGTCAGGAGGCATATTCTCACAACAAGAACAATGGAAATCCCAATACCTCTCCTTGAATAGGCACTGAGGCTGGCTATCGGGAGTAATAGGTGGGGTGGGGGGCGTGGTGTGGTGTACGTTAATAATTTCAAAACTGGATTTTCTTTTTATCCATTGATGGGATGCGGCTGTTGCTGCCTAGGCCAGCATTTATTGCCCATCCCTAATTGCCCAGAGGGAAGTTAAGAGCCAACCACATTGCTGTGGGTCTGTTGTCGCATGTAGGCCAGACCAGGTAAGGATGGCAGTTTCCTTCCCAGAAGGACATTAGTGAACCCGATGGGTTTCTCCCCTCAACAATTGACAATGACTTCATGGTTATTATTAGAACTTAATTCCAGATATTTATTGAATTCAAAATATTTTTATTCATTTATGAGATGTGTGCATCATTGCCTGGGCCAGCATTTATTGTCTGTCCCTAGTTGCCCCTTGAGAAGGTGGTGGTGAGCTGCCTTCTTGAATTGCTGTGGTCCATGTGCTGTAAGCAATTAGGGAGAGAATTCCAAGATTTTGACCCAGGAAAGAACATAAACAAGGAATTAGAAGGGCAAAAAGGGGTCATGAAAAGCTGTTAGCAAACAGGATTAAGGAGAACCCTAAGGCTTTTTATACATATATAAAAAGGAAGAAGGTAACCAGGGAAAGGGTTGGCCCACTCAGGGACAAAGGAGGGAATCCCTGTGTGGAGCCAGAAGATGTAGATGAGATCCTAAACGAATACTTTGTGTCAGTATTCACCAAAGAGAAGGATTTGGTGGAGGATGATCTCAGAGGGAGTGTCAAGTTTCTAAGTCAAGTTGCTATTAAAAAGGAACAGATGTTGTGCGCCTTAAAAAGTATTAAGGTAGATAAGTCCCTGGATTCTGATGGGACCTATCCCAGAATATTGAGGGAGGCAAGAGAACAAATTGCTGGGGCATTGACAGACATCTTTGGATCCTCTTTGACCACAGGTGAGGTCCCAGAGGACTGGAGAATAGCCAATGTAGTCCCATTGTTCAAAAAGGGTAAGTGGGATAATCCTGGAAATTACAGACCTGTGAGTCTCACATGGGTGGTAGCAAAATTATTGGAAAAGGTACTCAGGGGCAAGATCTGTATGCATTTAGAGGCAAATGGACTTATTAGTGATAGACAGCATGGTTTTGTGCGGGGGAGGTCATGCCTTACTAACTTGATTGAGTTTTTTGAGGAGGTGATGAAGATTATTGATGAAGGAAAAGTGGTTGATGTTGTCTGCATAGACTTAAGTGAAGTCTTTGACAAGGTCCCTCGTGACTGGTACAGAAGGTGAAGTCACATGGTGTCAGGATGAGCTGGCAAGATGGATGCAGAACTAGTTCAGTCATAGGAGAAAGAGGATAGCCGAGGAAAGATGCTTTTCGAAATGCTTTGCGACTAGTGGTGTTCCACAGGGATCAGTGCTGGGACCACTGCTGTTCATGATCTACACAAATAATTTGGAGGAAACTGTAAGTGGTCTAATTAGTAAGTTTGCAGATGATACAGAGATTGGTGGAGTTGTGGATAGTGAGGAGGATTTTTCGAGGATACAGCAGGATATAGATCAGTTGGAAGAATGGGCAGCAAAATGATAAATGGAGTTTAATCCAGATAAAGGTGAAGTGATGCATATTGAAAGGTCAAGTACAGGTGGAAATTATACAGTGAATGGCAGAACCCTTAGGAGTACTGATATGCAGACGGATCTGGGTGTGTAGGTCCACAGATCACTGAGGGTGCCACGCAGGGGAGATAAGGTAGTAAAAAAGGCCTATGGCATGCTTGCCTTCATTGGAAGGGGCGTTGAGTATAAGGACAAGCAAGTTATGCTGTGGCTTTATAGCACTTTAGTTAGGCCACACTTGGAATAATGTGCACAGTTCTAGTCAGCACATCACCAGAAGGATGTGGATGCTTTGGAGAGGGTACAGTAAAGGTTTACCAGGATATTGCCTGGTATGAGGGATTTTAGCTATGAAGAATGGTTGGATAGGCTGGGTTGTTTTCTCTATAACACTAGAGGTTGAGGGGTGACCTAATAGAAGTTTATAGGATTGTGTCGGCGCAGGCTTGGAGGGCCGAAGGGTCCATTCCTGTGCTGTATTATTCTCTGTTCTATGAGAGTGAAGGAATAGCGATATATTTCCAAGTCAGGATGGTGAGTGGTTCGGAGAGGAACTTGCAGGAGGTAGGGTATCTGCTGCCCTTGTCCTGGATGGAAGTGGTCGTGGGTTTGAAAGGTGCTGTCTGAGGATCTTTGGTGAATTTCTGCAGTGCATCTTGTAGATAGTACACACTGCTGTTACTGAGCGTTGGTGCTGGAGGGAGTGAATGTTTGTGGATGTGGTGCCAATCAAGCGGGGGCTGCTTTGTCCTGGAAGGTGTCAAGCTTCTTGAGTGTTGTTGGGGCTGCACTCATCCAGGTAAGTGGGGAGTATTCCATCACACTCCTGACTTGTGCCTTGTAGATGGTGGACAGGCTTTGAGGAGTCAGGAGGTGAGTTACTTGCCGCAGTATTCCCAGCTTCTGACCTGCTTTTGTAGCCGCTGTGTTAATGTGGTGAGTCCAGTTGAGTTTCTGGCCAATGGTAACCCCCAGGATGTTGATAGTGGGGGATTCACTAAATATCAAGGGGCGGTAGTTAGATTGGTGATGCGGATAGCCTGACATTTATGTGGAGTGAGTGTGACTTGCTATTTGTCAGCCCAAGCCTGGATATTATCTAAGACAACAAGGTGCAGGGCTGGATGAACACAGCAGGCCAAGCAGCATCATAGGAGCAGAGAGGCTGACGTTTCGGGCCTAGACCCTTCATCAGAAAAGGGAGAGGGGAAGGGGGTTCTGAAATAAATAGCGAGAGAGTGGGAGGCGGATAGAAGATGGATAGAGGAGAGGATAGGGGGAGAGGAAACAAACAGGTCGAAGAGGCGGGGATGGGGCCAGTAAAGGTGAGTGTAGGTGGGGAGTTAGGAAGGGGATAGGTCAGTCCAGGGAGGACGGACAGGTCAAGGGGGCGGGATGAGGTTGGTCGGTAGGAGATGGAGGTGCGGCTTGAGGTGGGAGGAGGGGATAGGTGGGAGGAAGAACAGGTTAGGGAGGCAGGGACGAGCTGGACTGGTTTTGGGATGCGGTAGGGGGAGGGGAGATTTTGAAACTTGTGAAATCCACATTGATACCATTGGGCTGCAGGGTTCCCAAGCGGAATATGAGTTGCTGTTCCTGCAACCTTCGGGTGGCATCGTTGTGGCACTGCAGGAGGCCCAGGATGGACATGTCGTCTGAGGAATGGGAGGGGGAGTTGAAATGGTTCGCGACTGGGAGGTGCAGTTGTTTATTGCGAACCGAGCGTAGGTGTTCTGCAAAGCGGTCCCCGAGTCTCCGCTTGGTTTCCCCGATGTAGAGGAAGCCACACCGGGTACAGCGGATGCAGTATACCACATTGGCAGATGTGCAGGTGAACATCTGCTTGATGTGGAAAGTCTTCTTGGGGCCTGGGATGGGGGTGAGGGAGGAGGTATGGGGGCAGGTGTAGCACTTCCTGCGGTTGCAGGGAAAAGTGCCGGGTGTGGTGGGGCTGGAGGGGAGTGTGGAGCGGACAAGGGAGTCACGGAGAGAGTGGTCCCTCTGGAAAGCAGATAAGGGTG